GTATTATATGGAAAATCTTGAAGGCCCATAATAATCATTGAAGTGATGGCAAATCAGGCAACCATATCGATACTATGCCATAAATTGCATATTATCGAGTTAAATTTACCTGGAGGTTTAAAATTAAAGAGTGGAGGAAGAGGGCGACCATTAGGAAGACGGGTGTTTGGGTCCCTCAGTTCATCAAAGAAAGGGTGAACACAAGCTTCCAACTGCAATACCAACATATAGATGATGAGTTATCTTGTAGTAACTTCAGAATTGTATCTCTCCTTGGTGATGAAAGATTAACTTACAGCAGTGCATCTAAGATTTGGCGAGTACTGAAAAAAACGACAAATCAGGTCAACTGCTTCTGCCGGCAGACGCTTTTGGAATACCTGAAAAGTTAATTAAGGAAACAGTCATATTGTGGAACAAATATTGAGATGGTTACCAACAAGCACATGCACCTGCAACTAAAGAGACTAAAATAAAAATATTTGTCAACACCTTAATATGATATTATTACACTAAACTTGAGCAAGAAAGAGGAGAGAAATATACATCTCCATTAACAATTGTGGGAAATTTTAAATTCTACAAGTTTAAGATGCATAGAAAATTTTTAAGTTGACAAGATTGATGATATTAAATGTTACCAGAGACATCTACCCAAGGCAGATATTTCACAAAGATTATTGGAAAATTGGAGGTTTTCATGTTCTAACTGATGACTCAGAATAAAAGAACAACAATTAACTCCTAGGCATCAGATTTGGAAGCTACGTTCAAAATCATTTGAGGGTGGCGGACGAAGGGCTTCATTAGGTTGTAGATGGACATCACATTGGCCTTCTGTGCATTGTTCCTAACCAACATTAATGTCTAAACTAGTCTAAGACAATGCACATAAGTGTCAGACAATCAAGATTCACATGTCAAGCTTTTGCCGTGACTCAGAAGAGGGCTGCTATATATCAATCTCACTATCTTGAGCTATTTAACAGCTCTTAAGCTTAACGAGGACCATAAATGATGATTGAACAAACCTTGTGCCAAGGATGGGGCTTTATCTGCGGAAACTTGAACTCGGTGTAGTTTGGATTCATGCATTTAATCTCCTCTCTGGTAGGTGTTCCCAGAACCTGTGTTACAATTTTAAGGCATAGTCATTGAAAAATGAGTGACCTCCATAAGATTCTTTAGCAGTACTTTAAGATGTCAAAGGACAAATTACGGTGGCAAAGCAAGTGGACCAAGATTTCTAAGCCCCATTATACTGTGAGGACGGCTATTATACCAAAATTGCTTTTATTCTTAAACATCCCCCAACCAATCACTAAAAATTAAGGCAATATTATGGCACCATTTGAGCCACATTAATAGAAGAATGAGAAAGAAAAATATAGCCGTTACGGGCCCCACACAAGAGATAGATTTTCAAATATGGTGATTTGGTGTGATGGGTAACGGTCATATTTTTCATTTTAACGAGTAAATAATGGGAAACAAACAGGAGCTATATCTACATATGAACAGTTAAAAAATAAAAATTACTATTGCTCTCTCATACTTGGCAGATGTTCCATGTA